GATGAGATGATCGTTATTGTTATGAATAAACAATAAATTGAAGGATATAAACGAACCGAATGACCCTGTCACGGAATTTATTATATCCGCGAATCGCCGCGCTACACAAACTAGTGAAAGCCACGAGTGTGCGCTCAATAAAAACCTCAGCATGTTTATCAAGCGGTCATCACTTAGAGCATTGGTGGGGTCCTGAGAAAGCAGCTGGACGGGAGGTGGTCGGTTTCGGGTCGACTGGAGATGAGGTGGGTGTGTTTAGTGGTTGGATTGTGTTAGTGAAGTGATACGGCGGTGATTGAAGGTGTATCAAGATCGATTGGATTATTGGTATCCAGCGATTCGATTCCGTGTCGAAGACGATACCATTAAACCGATTCGTGCCAAGGAGATGGGCGACTGGAAAGCGTTGACACTGGACGAGAAGAAGATGTTGTATCGTTACAGTTTTCGTCAAACTCTCGCGGAATTCGAGGCACCGACAGGTTACTGGAAGGTGATGACCGCGGCTACTTGTGCCATTATTGCGTTGGCCACCTTTTACTCACTGCTCCTGCATAAATTTGGTTCGTTTTTATTGGAGGTTCTATGGTTTGTCAATAAATAATGGCAATTCGTTGAGGGTGATAATCGTTTAATGATAATTTCAGTGTATCCAGAACTACCCCCAACGTTCCAGAACGAATACAAAGAGGCACAAGTTGAGCGTATGCTTGTGCTACAGAAGGGAACCTTCTTGGGACCGGCGAAATATTACGATTACGAGAATAATCGATGGAAACAATGAATTGATTGCGTTTTATTTGGATGCAGATCTGGTTCGTTGATTATTAGCGTGCAGCGTTTATTTGTGTTTGGCATTCGTTTTTGATAGTTTCGAGTGAATTGCCACTCGTCACTATTGCAATCTGAAGGAATATTCAAAATTATATGGACCAGATTCTATTGCAAGATTATTGCAGAAAATTTTTGTTGAAAATAAAAATATAAATGAAGAAATATATTAAGAATATTTTCAGATCGTCTCAACTCGCAACAACGTTTTTTTTCCAGTGGCACTCTTTGCATTGATCAGTTTAGGTTTCAGTTTGAATTTGATGTGTGTACGATGTGTTCAATCCACCTTTTTAAATCATCCCATTTTGTCGTCTTTTTTTATTGGTTCCGGTGCATAATGTGAGATATAGGAACAGCAGTTTCATGTTATTTTGATTTGTATTTATTTATTTATCTTCTGATAAGTAAGTAGTTGCACTGTTGAATTGTTTATTTATTGATATTGAATTCGTTTATTTGCTTAGATATTCATTCGTTTATTTATTTAGTTGTTTTGAAGATGTGTGAATTAGACAGCGTAGTGGATGTATTGATTTTGTTTAGGCGATGGTCTGCATTGAGTATTGTGTTATACCTCAGCAATGAAGATACGATATGATGATTTTGTATGATTCAGAATGAATTGAGAATAAAGTTTATGGTTTGCATTGATCCGATGTGCATACATTCGATGTGCTTGTGACCTATTTGAACAACATTCACATGCAATATATCCGGTCACAATTCCATTGTGAACATTTCATTTATTTTTGTTTCGAGTTGAGATCGCGTTATTACTGGCTTGATGAAATGAATGGGTTGGGTTGGGGAGTTTTTGCTTTTGCGGAATCTGATTGTTTAATCAGCTTTGGGTGGCGTGATGAGTTGAGTTGGATTTGAGTGTTACAGTTAAAGGGTAGATAAAATAGGTTATAAATGAATGAATCGTTTGAAGGTTTGGGATTGAGAAAGGAATGACAACAGAAAAGCAACATCCGATGTTGTTCGATGATTCGACGCTGATTTGGAAGTGGAAATGTCGAAGACGGAACTGGGATAAGGAGATGATCAATTCTGAGGAGTGGGGTGGGGTTGAGGTGCTGGTCGACCCGTTGAGGGCGAATAGTCGACGTTCAAGACACTTAGACACCCAACAAAAGCAGCATCTGATTAGAAGAACATCACCTGAGATCGTCATCAAAACTGAGACTGATGACGGTACAGAGCCAGAGTTTTTGGATCCGTTGGGTTAGTGAGCACTTGAATATGTTTAAATTTATGATTGTGATCGAAGTGAGGTGGGAAGTGCAGCTGAAGTTAATAATTCGAAGGTCAGGCAAACACAGGAGCAGTCATCTTCCAAAAATAACGGCAAATAAACAAATTAAACAGTTCATATTGCTGAAATTACTAACGGCTATCACTCGAATTGAAGGCGCATATCGCGAAGAACAGTCCGAGACGAATCCAACCACAAAAATCGATCCACTCTCAGTGCAGTCTGATAAGGCTGAACCTCAGTTACCAAATACATTAGCGATTGAAGAAGAGGAATATCTCGCAAAAGAAACGGTGCATTTTACTTATATTCGTCACTCACTGAATTGATCAAATATCACCATTGTCACTGAAATATCTCCTCAAATCTATTATTTCATCCGAAATGAGAAACGAAACTGATAGAGAGCTTCGTTATAGCATTCCATAAATAAAATTCCATATGCTACTAAGGAGTTTATCATGGTTATTTCGATTATCTTAACGAAATGAGATTGTATTTTTACGTAATGACGTTTGAACCACAGATATTGCCCGGCTTCGAGCCGTGGTCAACACACCGCAGAAGGATTCTGCAAGAATTTACAACTAACGAGAAATTATCGATCACTTCGAGTTTTTTACCGAATGGTGTTCCGCTGAGCACGAAAATTGTGATTGCGGATCGAGCTGCGCATAGGTGAGCACTGAATATGTGCCGTTAGCATTGTTATTGCTTAATGTATAGTGTTGACTAATGATTGATAAGTGCAGATTAGAACAGCTCAATGACACATCAGGACTGAAGAAATTGGCGGACTTATCGCAGGAGGAGTACGTTCGGAATGTGAATGAACTGAGGAAGAGACTCTTAATTGCATGGGCGAATGAGAAGAAGGTTGAATCTGTACAGGTTGGTGTTAGTTTATTTGTTTGTTTGTTTGAGATAGATAGGTGATAATGAAATCGTGAATTTTAAGATCATCGTAGAGCTCTCGCGAATACTATCGTCAACTGCAGCACCGCAGTTCTACCCGTCACAGTTCGTGTTAGTAACGGATATACTGGACATTTTCGGTGATTTAGTTTACGAGCGCTTATTCAATAAGGCAAATAAAGAACGATCAGAAGCCGCAGCCGGAAGTTTACCGAAGCACTTCACGCATACGGATGTGCCGTTGACGACTCGTGAAACAGCGAAGAATTGGTTTTGTAAAATACAAGAAATTTTGGAGTTATTGCCGAGATTTTATGGTGAGTTGGTGTGTTGTTGTGTGATTAATGGTATCGTTGTGATTGTGAAATGCTTTCAGTGGAGACATCAATCATAGGATGTATTCGCTTTTTGGACACGGATTCGTTGGCTGCGAATCTGCATCGGCTATGCGGAATGACGTTGTCGATACAGCACCCGTTGATTGCGTCCTATGCGCGATCGTACATCTGCAGGGTGGCCATGAGACTTCTGCCGGCCGATAGGGCACCGCACTGGAAATGCCTGAACGATTGGATGCAGTCTTTCGAGACACAGCCGGTAAGTTGTTATTGTTGTTATTGTGGTTGGGTGAGTGAATGTG